TGGAGGCTAAAGATCGGGGAGGGTGATGGCAACCCACTGCTGCGCACCACCAACGGCCACGTCGGCCGGGAGGTATGGAAGTTTGATCCTTCCGCGGACGACCCCGAGGAGGTCGCCGCTGTGGAAGCCGCCCGCCGGGACTTCACCAGCCGCCGGCACCAGATGAAGAACAGCTCCGACCTTGTCATGCGCATGCAGGTCTCCTTAGTTGCATTGTTTCTTTCTCTTTCTTTCACATACGCTGCTACTACGTACTACTATATGTATGCAATTAGGAGGGCTTGACGAAAATCAGGACAGTGTTAAACTTCACCTATATGTGTTTGGGACCGTGTTCCACACTTCCACTTCAAAAGAAATGTGTCAAACTTCACCATGCATTAGTTTTTACTTTTTACTCTAGCTGGGAGTTGGGACTAAGATCATCTATATATGGTTGTGTGCAATCCAAGGGGTTGCAACCTCCTTTCCTAAAAAGCTGGCCATGTTAGACGTACGTGTCGCCATATCCAACAACACCAAGAGAGGACGCCATGCGCACACCTTGGCTTTCGCAGTTCCCTACAGTTTCATATATAGTTGGTCCCATTGAGATTATATCCAGAGAGAGAGAGAGAGAGAGAAGGTCGCAATGAAATAGTAGTATATGCTTCTTTTTGCGGGTAGTAGTAGTATATGTACAGTCCAAATAAATGTGTATATGTGCTTCCTACGAATATATAATAGCTAGGAGTACCATTGCTCATTCTGTTTAGCTGAAAACTTGACCGCAACTTTAATTGACTAGCCATTTTGTGTCATGCAGTTGTCCAAGTCAAACGGCCTCAAGACGAACCTTCCTGATCCCATCAAGCTTGAGCAGCATGGCTATGCCACAAAAGAGGCCGTCTTGATATCTTTAAAGAGGGCCGTCAGCCGCTATTCCATGCTCCAGGCAGATGACGGCCACTGGCCTGGGGAGTTCGCTGGCACTTTATTTCTCTTGCCCAGCTTGGTAGTACTTTCTCTTTCTCACTTACCAAGAACAATCTTTTTCTTATCTATTATCATCTTCATACATAAATGCTCCTTCCCTAAAGAAATATAAGAGCATTTCGAAACGCTTTTATATTTCTTTACAGAGGGAGTAGATGTTATTTTCCTGTTTTGACTCCCATCGACTGTTTATTTTTTCAGATTGTAGCATTGCATGTGACTAGATCACTGACTACCGTGTTGACATCTGAACATCAAAAAGAGATTCGGCGATATCTCTACAATCACCAGGCACGTATGAATGCCTAATGACAACTTTGATTAAATCTATAATTAAATATACATGTATTTCCTAATATTCATTATTAAGAGTGCAGAATGAAGATGGGGGCTGGGGACTGCACATCGAGGGGACAAGCACAATGTTCTGTTCTGTCATGAACTATGTCGCTTTGAGATTGCTAGGGGAGGGGCTGGATTCACATGGATCCATGCTGCAAGCTCGGAGTTGGATCTTGGACCATGGAGGAGCAACTTTAACACCATCTTGGGGAAAATTCTTTCTTTCGGTACGTAGAGAACATAATAGGATGTCCAAAGTACATATGTACATATATACACACTTATTTTTTGCAGTTGATCTCGAAAGGGAATGGAATACATATATTTGGGCAGCCTCATATCCTTCATCCCAAAAGGGAATGGAGTACATATGTTGTTGGATTTTCAACCTAGAGGGATTTCTTGTCTGATATTTCCTGACTTCTTGCTTAAGGTCCTTGGAGTATATGATTGGTCGGGGAACAATCCATTGCCACCAGAACTATGGATGGTGCCCTATTTCTTGCCGATTCATCCAGGTCTGGGCCTCCAACTTCAGTTTCTTCATTTACTCGAAGGGTTGGGTGTGCTTTGCTACGCTGTTGGTGTTGTTAGCCTTTCATAAAAAAAATACTCTCTCTGTTTCAAAATCTAACGTGAATTAGTTTGTTGAAAAGTCAAACCTTTTAAGTTCAATCAAAATTATAGAGAAATATATCAACATCCATAATCTCATATCGATGTCATTAGATTCATCATGAAATGATTTTTCATATTTTATCTATTTAGTATTGTGGTGGCCAAAGTAAAAGAAAGATTACTTTTCAAAAAACTGATATTCCCTCCGTTCTTAAATATAAGTCTTTTTAGAAATTCCACTACAAACTACATACGAATGTATATAGACATATTATAGAGTATAGATTCACTCATTTTGCTCGGTATGTAGTCCATAGTGAAATCTCTAAAAAAACTTATATTTAGGAACGGAGGGAGTACACCTTATATTCTTCTACGTACTGAGGTTTACAAGTAGGGGAGATGATGGGGTGTGTTTCCTTTATTTAAAATATGGTGTTCCGGTTGGCCTTTCGCGGTGAGATTCTAT